CTGGAGGAAGGCAGAATCTCCAGTGAGTACTATCCAATCTGTCTAGGCGGAGCTGATGAAATGAAATACAGATGGGTCTTTTGTGATACAATAGTGAATAATTGTTATCAGGACTGATTGTGAGGGTTGGAAATGTAAAGATAGACGTTTTATAGCAAGGAATGGAGTGATTAACTTTCCAGTCTAGGATCGGAGGTCTCTAGGACCATCAAAGGAGAAGAGCCTGACCCTACCCAGAGAAGAAGCAGCGATGCCTAAGATGGAGGCAGAGACGATGACGTGGAGCAATGGAGCAGCTGGGGACTTTAGATCCAGAGAGGGAGAGGGGCTGTGTGCTGAAGACTTGGGGGGGTGGGGGAGGGCAGGGGCGGGAAGGGAGTGTAGGGGGCAAGCTTGCAGGGTATACCCTTTGGTTGGTTGATGATGCATAGAGGGGACTATAACCATGGCAATGAAACGATATATGATAGAATTAATGTAAAACTAATGTTCTCCCATGTAAACTATCATATAATTCACAAAAAACCAGTACAACAGATAAAGATGGACTTTATCTCATGATTAAAGGGACAATTAACAAGATGCCATAACCGTAATAAATATCTGTGCTCTCAATGAAAGAGCTGCAACATATATAAGGAAATTCTAATAGCTTTGAAGAATGAAATAAACAAATGTACAATAATAATGGGAGATTTTAATATACCACTATTGAGAAGGATAGAACAACCAGAAAGAAAGTTGACAAAGACACAGAGGAACTAAACAACACAATCAGCCAACTGGACCTCATAGATGTGTTCAGAGCATTCAACTCAACAACAGCACACTACACATTCTTTTCCAGTGCACAAGGAACATTCTCCAGAATAGACCATGTGTTAAGACCATAAAGCAAGCCTCCATGAATTTACAAACATCAAAATACTACAAAGCATCTTCTCAGACCACAATGCTATAAAATTAGAAACCAACTATACGAAGACCAAGGAAATTAAGCCAAATGCATGGAAACTGAATAACACCCTGCTAAAAAGCTACTGGGTAGGAGAAGAAATAAAATGTGAATTCTGAGAGGACAGTTGATTGCAATAAATGCCCACATCCAAAAGAAGAAAGAAGCAAAATCAACACATTAAGAAAACATCTCCAACAACTAGAAACAGGCCAGCAAAGTAAACCTACAGTCAACAGAAGAAAGGAACTAATAAAGATTAGAGCAGAAATAAATGAGACAGAAAACAGAAAAACCATCCAAAGAATCAACAGGACAAGAAGCTGGTCCTTTTAAAGGATTAATAAAATCGACAAACCATCAGCAAACCTAAGAAAAGAAAAGAGGGAGGAGATACAAACAACATGCATAAGAAACCACATGGTTGATGTCACAACAATCCTTGCAGAAGACAGCATGCTTGGTAAAGTGGAGGGTCAGAGGAAGAGAGGAAGACCCCCAACAAGAGGGATTGGCACAAAGGCAGCAGCAATGGGCTGCTCAAACGTAGCAACGACTGTGAGGTTGGCGCAGGACCGGGCAGTGAAGTTTCCTTGTGTTGTGTTGAGTGTCGCTGTGAGTTGGCACTGACTTGAAGGTACTGAGTGTCAACAACACCGTTCACAAGCATCCCCCGGGGAAGCAGGCTGGTGCACCTGGCAACAGCGAGGCGGAGGAGAAGACCTGCTTCAGCTTGGCCTGGCACTCCTCCAGAAGGTCCTCCTTGGACATGGGCAGCTGCAGGACTTCAATGACGACCTCAGCTGCATCCAGCGCCTTTTTGCCCATCACTAGGGATTTCACATGCCAGGAGTACGTCTTCCCGTAGCGATCGCAGATTTCTTGAAACACCATGGAGTAAAGTCGCTCCGTGTCTGCAAAGACAAGAGAGAGAAGGGAAGGTAGGGATGTGAGGGGCACGCTATGCCAAGTCCCTGTCCCAGACAGGTGAGACACACTTGTGAGTCACCTCCAGTGAGAGAAGTGTCCACAGCTCTGCAGGCATACTTACTAACAACACCCGGGACCTCCTCTCCACCGGTTTTAGTATAACTTGGGAGAGCTCAGTATTTGCAAAGAAATGCGGTCAGCATTGCTAATCGTTTCCTGCTTACAAAAACATCCAACAGTGCACAGGACATGCCTGAGGCCACAGGTAACTGTCAAGATTGGCTGAGGACTGTCGAGTCCACTAGGACCCATGGAGATCCCACGGAGCAGCGTAAAATTGCCACAGAGGGTGTCCTAGGCAGGCACTGCTCCGAGGGACACAAGACCTGTAGCTGGGAAACACTAAAGGACAGGAGTCGTAGTCAGTTCCAAAGAAGGTAACAAATATGGGAAAGCATGATTCTATATTTTGCAATGCTGTCAAGTTTGAGGACTAAGGTGTGCCTGACCCAAGTCGTGGTATTTTTAATCATCTCATATACATGTGAACACTGGACAATGAATAGAGAAGAATGTAACAGAATCGATGTATTTGAGTTATGTGTTGGCAAAGAATATTGGAAGTACCATGTGTTAGAAGAACAAACAAATCTGTGTTGGAAGAATACAGTCAGAAAGCTCCTTGGAAACCAGGATGTTCAGACTCCGTCTCTCGCACTTCTGACAAGTTCTCAGGAGAGACCAGTGCCTGGAAACACTCAGTTACTAACAGAAAGGTGAGTGGTTTGAACCCACTGAGAGGCTCTGTAGGAAAAAGTCCGGGTGATATGCACCCCTGAAGATGACAGTCTGAGAAACCCTCGGGAGCAGTTTTACACTGAGTCCAACATGACTGGATGGCACCTAGCCGCAGTAACATGCTGCTGTGTTCAGGAAAACGTCTCTGGGAAAATCTTCTCTCTCACCCTGGACTGGGTGTGGGAGAAAGGAGACTGGGACCCAATGTGCACGAGAGGAGGTGCTGCTGAGGTGTTGTGGTGTGCAGGTATGGGTGGAGGCATGGACAGGAACAGACATGGGGGGAGGCTTCTCTCTGAGGGCCTGGGGAGATTGCACAGGAGCAAAGGAGAGGTGTATGGTAGCTGGAGGTAGAAACACACATGGGTACACCCGGGGTGTGGTCCTGTCTTTGAGGGTGAGGGGAGAGCGCATATGAGAACAGGAAAGGATGATCTGGTGAAGGGAAACCATCTATTGTGAATGAATTGTGTGCCCCAAAGTCTATGCGGGAACCCTGACGTTGAACCTGTGGATACGATGCCCTTTGGAGGACCAGGGCTTTGGGGTTCTATCCCTGCAGTCCTGACAGTACAGGCTGCCGTCTTCAGGAGTCCCGTGTGCTCTGCGTAAGGAAGGCACAAGAAGCAGAGGTACGGGGAGGTGGATACCCCATGGAAATCATCAAAAAGCCCAGGAACCTTCGCCAAATGTGGAAGAACTCTGAGAAATTCTGTCTATCCTTCCTCAGATGATCACCAAGGAACCAAGGGACAGACAGACAGTGAAAATGATCAGGCCTGCCCTACAGAGCTGGCACACTGAATGAACCTCCAGCTGCAAGCCAGAACTGTCAGAGAAGCCGTGTCTCTGGTTGAATTGCCCCCCACCCCCACCCCAGGGTTTGGGGGGATTTTTTATAAAGCAGCACAAGGATGTGGTGACATCACTCAGCAGAGGCGGTAAGGAGAGGCACAGAGGGGACGGTACATGTCACAGAAAGATGACTAGGGAACCCAGGCACAGAAGGTGAAAGAGGCAAGGACCTGCCACACAGCCAGTGCCCTGAATACAGATTTCCTGCCTCAAGAACTGGTAGAAAACTATGATGTTTACCCGCCCCCTGGGATTGGTGGAATGTTGGCTACACCAGCACCAGGTCACAAAGGGCCCCCTCTATGACATCACTCAGGAGAGCAGTTAAAGAGAGGCACAGAGGGGAAGGTGCCCACCCGCCACAGGAAGATGACCAGAGATTTAACGAACAGAAGCTGAAAGAGACAAGGTCCTGCCATCAGAACCAGAGCCATGAATTCGGACTCCCGGCCTCTAGAAAGGTGAGCAATCCCATGAATATTGTTTACATGTCCATAGGTTTGGTGGGATTTCTGTTACAGCACCAGCGCTCATAGAGACCCCCACTGTCATATCACTAGGAGAGGAGGCAGAAGCACAGAAAGGGGAAGGTTCACCCCACAGGATCATGGCCGAGGACCCAAGAACAGAAGCTTAAACAGACAAGCATCTCTCACAAGAGGCAGCACCCCAAATTCACAACTCTAGCTACCATGAAAGTGAAATACTGATGTGTTTTTTACCTTCCCACAGGGTTTTTGGGATTTCTGCTAAATGGGCTTCAGGACACGGACACGCACCATGTGACATCACTCAGGAAAGGAGGTAAGGAGACCCATAAACAGAGGGGAAGGTAAACGCCCAGGTTTATAGCCAGGGAACCCAGAAACAGAAGATTAAGGAGAAAAGGATGTGCCGTAAGCAGAGATGTGAGAAAACCCCTATCTATTGGTAAACTGTTCCCTGCTTGGGGGGGATGGTTTCAGCGGCTCAAGGCTCATAGACAGTCCTCGATGACCTCACTCAGGTGCACACCACAGGGTGGCTAGGCACAGAGAAACAGAAGCCGACAGAGGCAAGGTCCTTCCCTCAGACCCAGTCCATTCAATTCATACTCGCAGCCTCCAGAACTGTGAGAACATCCACATCTGTTGTTTACCCTTCCCTCAGGTTTGGTGGGATTTCAGTTACAGCAGCACCAGGTCACGTAGACTCCCAGGTGACAACGATCAGGACAGGAGGTAAGGAGAAGCAAAGAGGGGAAGGTGCACACCACAGGGAGATGACCAGACAATTAAGAAACACAAGTTGAAAGAGAGAAGGTCCTGCCCCAGAGCCCTGCTAACCCAGAACCAGGTCACAGAGACTCACACTGTGACATCGCTGAGGACAGGAGGTAAGGACAGGCACAGAGAGGAAGCGCAACACTTCACAAGACCTGTCATCGGAACCAGCACCGTGAATTTGGACTCCCAGACTTCAGAACTGTGAGAAAATCCATGTATCCATGGCTCTTTTTACCAGTTCCCACGTTTGGCGGGATTTCTGATACAGCAGCACCAGCTCATAGAGACCTTTCATTTCTAGACATTACTAGAAGAGCAGATGAGGAGCACCACAGATGTGAAAGTAAACACTTCAGGAACATGGTTGGGAACCCAGGAAAAGAAGACGAGAGGCGAGGATCGACCAAAGAACCTTTACCAAAATTCAGACTTCTGGCCTCCAGAAACTGAGAACATTCTGTCTATGGCTTAGGCTTAACACCCCTGGTTCGTTCCGTTCCAAGAGCACCAGGTAATGGATACTACACTCATGGTAACACCAGTCAGGAGAGGAGGAAAACAGGGCACAGAGGAAAGGTACAGTCAACAGGAAAATAGCCAGGGAACTGAGGAACAAAAGCTGAAAGAGGCAGGACCTCCTACAAGAATTATAGCCTCTAGAAAAGTAAAAAAAAATTAACGGTGTCTTTCTTGATCTTCCCACAGGGATTTTTGGATTTCTGCTAAAAGAGCCTCAGGACACAGGGATCTTCATGTGACATCACTCAGGAAAGGAGGTAAGGGGACCCACAAATGGGAAGGTAAATGCCCCAGGAAGATGGCGAGGGAACCCAGGAGCAAGAGTTGAAAGAGGCAAGGAACTTCCACAAAGCCAGCAAGCTGAATACAGACTTCCGGCTTCCAGAACTATGATAAAAACCATGTATGTCATTTACCAGCTCCCGCCCCGCCCCCCCCAGGTTTGGTGGTATGTCTCATACCCCAGCACCAAGTCACAGAGACCCCTCTATGACATCACTCTGGAGAGGAGGTAATAGGGCACAGAGGGGAAGGTTCACCCACAGGAAGATGCCCAGGGACCCAGGACCAGAAGCTGATGGAGACAAGGACCTGTAACACACCCAGCACCCTGAAGTCAGACTCCCAGCCTCCAAACAGTGAGTAAATCCCTGTCTGCTGTTTACCACCACCACCACGTCTCCGCATTGGGTGGGATTTCTGGTACAGGAGCACAAGGTCACGGAGACCCAGTGTGACATCACTCAGGACAGGAGGTAAGGAGGCCACAGAAAGACGGGTACCTGCCACAGGACAATGGCCAGATAATCCAGGAAGACAAGCTAAAGTGGACAAGGACCTGCTGTCCCATCCACCACCCTGAATTCAGATTCCCAGCCTCCAGAAAGATGAGAAAATACATGTCTATTGTTTTCCTGACCTCTGGGTTTGGTGGAATTTCCGTTACAGTAGCACCAGCTCATAGAGACCTTCATCGTCACATGACTAGGAGAGAAGGTAAGGAGAGGCACAGAGGGGAAGGTACACTTCACAGGAGGAAGGTGGACAGGGCTCCCAGGAACAAAAGCTAAAACATACAAAGTTCTATAACAAGAGCCGCATCCTGAATATAGAATTCCAGTCTCGAGAACCATGGAAAATTCCATGTATGTAGTTTATCCGTCCCCCAGGTTGAGTGGGATATGTGATACACCTGCACCAGGTCACAAAGACCTCTTCCAGGTGCACACCACAGGAAGGTGAGAAACCAAGGAACAGAAGATGAAAGAGGTAAGGACCTTCCCCCAGATGCAGGGCCTTCAATTCAGACTTCCAGCCTCCAGAACTGTGAGAACATGCTTACTCAGGCCGCAGGTTTGGGAGGGATTTCAGTTAGAGCTGTACTAGGTAACGTAGACATACAATGTGACATCGTGCAGGAGAGAAGGTAAGGAGAGTCACCGAATGGAAGGTACACAACACAGGAATATGGCCAGGGAACCCTGAACAGAAGTGGACAGATCCAGGAACCTGCTGTCAGAACCAGGACCCTGAATTCAGACAGACAG